GATGTTTAATAGCAAAGTAACAACAATTTGATCGGACAAATGACAATCTGTATTGTTGATTGTTAATGTCTTGTTAATTTTTGATAATCTGCATAATAAATCATATACTTTAAAATCTCAAAATCAATATATGTATGTGAAATGTAGACACACACATATACCGCATTATATAAGGTTGTTGTCGGTACTTTCCGATCGTTTTTTATACATTTCGATATCCATATGCACTTCTTACATGAAAAAGCATAAACTTACGTCAAACAGTATTCCCTTCAAGCTGCTGATCAAATGTGATTATCCGACAATTTGTCTTTACGATTGACCGAGAATAGCCGTCAACGAATCTTTTTCTTTTAATGTTTCGTTGCAACAATATGCGGACATAATATTATGTGTCGTTTATCGCATAGAAAAAGGGAGAAAGAACGAGAAATAGAAAGAAAAAGAAAGCAAAGCATAAGTTTAATGATCTAACAGATCTAACAGTTTTACGATAACGTCGATCTCCTATTCGCGTCTGCTCGTCTCAATACGTATGCGGCTGTGTAAAATCAACGGTGTTTTAAGAAAGACTGGATGAATGTAGCGATGCTCGTTTCTCTATACAAGGATTTCCTGGAGGTCACGCGTACCCCACGATTTACCAACGGTCCTCTTACTTTACCCGATTAACGTGTGTCTACATCACGATGTAGACGTCAACGGTTTCGTGTTATTTCCTCTTGTAATTGTTCTTCCCCTGTGAGGAAACATCGTGGGAATTTCCATCGATATTCTTGAAAGAAATATTCTGGCGTATCGATGATACATTATCGAGTAAACTTCCCTTCTTGATGTACCTACAGTGCTATACGATGCTGCTGTAAATCGAGTTTAAGTACGAATGGATGAACAGAATATTCATGAAACAGATAATTCTTAATGATATTTGCTGTGATATTATAATCAGATTACGTAACTGTATTGTTTTATCTTATTAAAATGATAACGAAGCCCATTTATCTGACACTCCAAAAATGATCTTGTTCATCAGATGAAATAAAACCAGATTGCCCCGGATAGAACTGCATTTTTCTATATATGCAAATAAAGTAGAGAATAAACACTTTGAAGAATTCGCTTACTTGTTTGTTACTTGTAGTAGTTAGTTACTTGTATGTTACAACTAGTAATATATATATGTAATTAGTAACGGAATTATTATTTGAATTTTTATGAGAAAACTAAACGACAAAGATTCTCTGTGAAGCGAATGCGTTTCAAAGTGATTTTTTTTTTAAATCTGCGAGTTTCTCAATAAATATGAATGAAAAATAAACGAAATTTAAAAATTTGACAAATTTTTAGATAGAAAATGATTCGCGCTTATCATAAAATCGCCCTTGATACATAAGACAACACGATAAAAGATTTCATTTTACAGTCAGAATAAGGATCACTTTCTATACCTATACATACATAATTGCTCATATCACACTGCTTCGCACAACAATTTAAGATAACGAGTGTCTTTTTACATGAAAGACTGCAACGTATAACCTGAAGTATCAATCGTTGAACGATTTAATCATCATTCGTTTTTAACATACCTACATAGCGAAACTTTAGAGTTGAGTATGAATTTTTTCGAAGAATCTGGCGATCGAACGCGGACATGCGTCACGGTTTTCCCATTAAAATTACACGTGACATACATATACATATGCATAAATGTATAAAATCGTTTATCCCTTCTCAACCTTTATCGCATATAAATAGAAATAGCAATGATTTAGTAACGGCGACGATGACGATCGACTTAAATGACAATGACAGTTATAATTTTTATGAAAAATTTCTCACGTAATGTCCAATTCCAAGTATGGATACATATAAATAGATATATAATACAGCTAAAGATACAATCGATATGCTTATGGAACGGCAACATTAATAATCGTATAAAGGAAATATTAATGGATATTTCTATGATTAGATCGACGCAAGATGATTTTTCCTACGAACGTTTAAACGTTTTTGTTTGGACAAAAGCAGGAATTGAAATTGAAACGCGACGACAATATCAGGTATTCATAATCAAAATGTAAAACATTTGAGCATTTTTATTACGCAATTATTACATTTCTCGAAAAATGAGCTCGAAAGAAGGTCGAACATTACAAACATGTAATGAATAAAGTATATACATATGTATATAAGCATATACATATGTATATATATATGGAAGCATCGTAAAGGCTCGCGAAAGGAATTTGTTGCCTCAACCAGGAAATGAGACCAAGTGACTACAAAATTATGTTGAGGATCAAACGCGATTTTGACGTGGTCGTTTCCTTTTATCGTTCCACGCGAAAATTTCAAGAAAATTCGATGATATCGAATACATGCATTTACCGCGTAATGTCGTCGTTGATTATCACCGGCATAGATCAGTTTAGTCAATCTAGACTATAGATTCTGGATTATTATCATTGTTTTAAGGTAGAGAAATATAGTATAATTAACTTTGTTTTAGTTTTATTAATATTTACAATGAAGACAAAGAAGAAGAAGAAAGAGAAGAGAAAGTTTACGCAAGAACGTTAACCTTCGTGTAATAACGGTGATGTCGATAAAGTGACTACGCAATAGCAGGTGTATCGTGCGTAATCCACAAGGACGTTTTCCTCGATCATTCTTAATACGTTCTCATTTTAAATTCCATCATTTAAGATGCGCATATGTATACGAGACTTTCTTATTTCAAAATAAGGAAATAAATCTATAAAAGAACAACCATCATGCGATTATTTCAATTCCACTTGTAATTTGTACTATAAGAAAAATTGTATTACATATATAACTATTTGATAACCGATGCATACGTAAATATATGTGTATACCATGTAGGATCTCATTTATAGAGTACGTCAACCAACGTCTACGGTAACGCAACTCGTTTTTACGAATTTTACGATTCTCATACGCTACAATTAATCGCGTTGTATTACGTGCCGCTCGTCAGAAAACGCTGTAAATGTTTTAGCGGAATTGATCAAGGGATAACTGACATAACCTTTTTACGTACATGCATACATATGCGAAACGCGATAGTCACGATAAGCATTCATTTCTAAGGGATTTTCTTTAAAATGACCGAATTTATACAAGGAACGTGTTTGTTAATGTGTCCAGACAAAGAACGTTGGATGTAAGTTATACGTGTGCCAATTATATTCTATCATGTATTCGATCATACACGATTGCGAAATCAAAACAAATCTTGACGAAAATTTTCTTGTAAATTGTTGTTTATAATTTATACATCAATATCTTTTTGTGGTAGTTTAACGGTGACTATCTCTCTTGCATCCGTTTACTTTTCTATTGTTGATAAAAATTTTTGCATTAAATAGATGTAAATTATATTTGAATGAACAATTTATGATACTACATAATTTTTCATTTTATCACAAATAAAGGTTATCATTTCATTTCATTTCATTTCATTTCATTTCATTTCATTTCATTTTGAATGCTTGAAAGAAAAGACTTAATTAATTATAAAGAATCATACACAATTATTTTATTTTCATCGTATACAAATGTGAATACAAATTTAAATTATGCTAAGAATAAATCTTTAATAATTCGTAACACAACATACTTATAGTAGAGAAAAGGAGGGTCTACTACACAAGTTTGAGATCAATGAAACTACGAAGGGAGCAAAATTGCCGAAGGCAGATCCAGCAAAAACGATAAAATGTTTTAGCCGTCCAGCAGCAGGATTAGATATGACAGATATGAAACAATTACGTCCAGCACCAGTCTTATTATCAACGATTCGATATTTGTTTACCAAGTATTTACTCATACGAGTGAAAGCAAGTTAAATAAATTTATGGACATCAATGTACATATACATACGTATGTAAATTCATTTCAGGATAGCTACGCGAAACGATGTTGATTGGGTAGTAGTATATGATTTTATCTTTGATCGTATCAGATCCATCAGGCAAGATGCTGCAATTCAAAGGATAGATGCCCCAACGAACATTCGGTTGTTGGAATCCATAGTTCGATTTTTGGTTTATTCTGAGCAGAGGTACGATATATCGTATTTTTTAATGTAAATTTGGAGATTGTACAGTGTTAACAGTAGTAGAATGGATGCGGAGGAACAATTGCAGATTATGCGAGCGAAGTATTTCCGAATTTAATGCAAAAATCAATGAGCAACACCTCGCCGAATGTATAATGCGTTTGTTAAACTTATACGACGAGTTTGAAGATAAAAAAAATTCTCTGGAATTTAATAGCGATATGAAAAAATTAATGTTAAACGATGATCGTCCACAAATGGAAGCATTATACATTCTTTTACACATGGGTAACACGGAAGCTTTGATGAGAGGATTACAACTTCCTCCCGATTTACGGTACGAACAAAACAGAATAAATGATATATGTTCACAATTCATATGTTCAAATACAAATACATATTTCATGTCTGAATAATGATTCTCGTCGCTATTTATCATTTTTCGTAGAAAATCTCCAAATGTACAATTATCCATAAAAATATCATTCGCTTGGTATTTAAAAAATTATGTGCGCGTCTGTTCTTTAATTCCACAACTTCCTCCGTTACTTATTTGCGCAGCCATGACGGGCATACAAAAATTAAGAAGGTATGCATATACGTCCAAATTTCGACAGGCAAAATTTCCATTAACGTGCGATTGTAAAATGTTACAGGATGGCATTGAAAATCATGAGCTCAGGATACAACAATAAAGTTTTCACGTTTCCAGGACTTAAATTGCAACAACTTTTACTATATAAAGATATAGATAAAATTCGAGCAGATTGTGAGCTGTTGGGTCTTATATTCGTCAATCAAAATATTTTATTTCAAAAAGCGAATTTCAAAGATGAAGTCCAACTGGTAAGCAGAAGAAATTGATGAGGTATTATAATCTCTAGTAAGAATGGAAAAAGCCATTATCATTTGCTATTTCAGACACATCCAGAGATGTATTACACAGATCAATCCTTACACAGTATTTTACCAAGTGTTTTACTTGAATCTAATGTAATAAATGTATAAAAGGTATAATGATAATTTATATTGTTACATCCTCATCGCTTCATTTTATCAGGGATTAATAAATTTATAAAACTAATAATGAAGAATCTCTATTAATCCCTAATAAATCTAGTATCTCGTTGTAAAATACTTGTTTGGACGTTCATATGCATACAATTTGCTTAAAATCATACTGAATCCATAAAACAGTTTACTCAAACTCTACAAAAAATCAATATTCACTGAGAATCACTAGATGAGCTACTTGAAGAGTCTGTGGACATAACTTCAACATCTTCTGTTTCCTGCTTATGGGTATTCATGGCAACGCTTCCTTGTCCACTCACAGACATGTGAATTTCACCCGACGAATGCCATGCAAATTGATTAGCTTGCGATACAGGTGGTTCTGAAATAATCATTATTCCATTCGGAACGAAATGAGTTTAAGTGTACCAGTATATGTATATGCAAACATATACACAAAGTAAATTCCTACAAACGTACCACCTACTGGATGTCCAGGTCTATGCAAATCTGATGATATTCCAGGATGAGTACCTGGCATCTGACCATTTAAAGGAAGATCACTTAACCTTCCAAGATAACCTAATCTCATTTCAATATCTGTAACAATACATATAATTTTCATGACTTACAAAGAAATGATAGGAATGCAACAAATAAATAATATACCAGTAGGATAAGGTCTTCTAGGGTCCCCTTGTTGCCAGGTAAGTGGAGCACATATAGCATTTGACGCACTTATTCTATGTGCATATTTAATTAATTCTTCAGATGGTACAGGTCTCTTATTAGCGCGGGCAATGGATTGTAATTTTTGTTTAGCTTGATAAATTGCAGTGGCTAAAATTTGTTCTGCCTCTTTTAATTGTCGCTGCAATTGTTGAATATCTTGGTCTTGTCTCTCAACTTCGGCTTTTAAAGCTTCCATTTTCAGGTTAATTTTTGCTTGCTCGGCCGCTCGTTTTAGAATTGCTTTCAATTCGTTGTCCTTAGCAATTAACAATTCCGTTAGTTGAGAGTGTTCTTCGTTTGACAGTTTCAATGGTTTTTGAACTATCGTATTTTCTATCATTTCTCTAGGATAATAAAAACGGCAATAAAAGGACAAAATTAAACACAATTTATTGAAACATGTTTATTTTAAATATTTGTAGCAAATTTAAATCGTACTTCGCTATCAACTCGATGTCATCGACGATAGACAATAGAACCTCTTTCGTACTTTTACTGGTCGATGTCATGACGTTCTACACTGTCAATGATCGAAGTCATTCGATTCGAAAGATGCCTACAAAATTGTCTACTCGAAAAGTGATCCTTATACCATAAACATCTTTCTAAACTTTGAATTACTAACATCACTAGTTTAACACCATATTAACTTTACATTCTTCTTTCCTTTTTGTGTTAAAACACAAATTACAATACTTACTAGGAGCGACGCTACGATCGCCTAATCACAGCTCCACACCGCGGTATGATATATAAGGCGTTTCGACGCTCTGGTGATTAGTGATTATTTCCTGTTAGTTCTCTGGTATCCATTACATTGCATCAAATTAGAAAAGATATGGAGGTGTGATAAAATAACAAATAGCAAAATATGAATATATGGTGAAATATGAATATGAATATATGAATATATGATTGATAAAATAGAGAGCTTTCTTAAGTTAAAGTTGGTGCGGTGTGCTTCTTTGGCTTGAAGTTGGTATAGAGTAGCTCTGAAGTCTACTACAAATGCAGCCACTTTAAGGTTCTGTATTATTAACATCATTAATGCACACACGTACATGCCTTTCTGACAATGATGTCTCTAGCGACAGTCAGAGGAACTACCAACTAATGATAATTTAAATAGTAGATCTGCTCATGATCCTAATCTAAACAAGCGTGTCATTTTTAATTCATATTCTTCTGTCAAAATTGATTTGTTACAACAATTAGAGAATATAACTAATTGGTTTGTAATGACACCTTCTGGATCAAAATCTCCGCCTTGTTTCTTAGCATTGCGACAATCAGTAAATGTCACCGCATAGCTTTGGCGATGTTGTAATATCTTTTATGACTTCCTGCTTAAACACAGATGTTTTAAAAAAATTATTTTTAATTCTTAGAATAAACAATGGCGCTTACGATGCCAATCCTTTTGTAAAAGTAGTGCGCCTTGTCATCAGGAAGAATATGATGTTGAATTTGAATACTAATCCTTATAACAGTAATTGCCAACTTGATTCTGATGCAACTTTATTAAAAGAGGATGTATTGTTCCAATTTACAACCTCCACATCAGACGATGTTCCATTAAACAAAATAGAAAAAGGGAACATTAATGCGGAAAGTGAAAATATACAATTAGAAATTGACAATAAATTAGCAGCATTGTCTACGTCAATATGCTCTTTAGAGACGTGTGCCATTGAATATCTTGCCGAGAGCATTGAAAAAAGAAAAAACCGGAAAAATCTAAATGTGATAGATTTTTTAATTATCTTGTTGATAAAAGTAGGAAATTTTTGCGTGATGAACAAAGATCTTTCGCGACTTCTACTTTATTATTCTTTTTTATTCGTTGTCCTTTGTTCTGCGAACTGCAAACGTAAAATGTGAGATTGTACTCGGTACTTGTACGAGAAAGTACTAATAAAGGCATAAGCAAACATAATATGTATACAACATTCAAAGAATATTGTAAGAATAGTGCAATAAAATATCAATAGAAAATGCTAAAAAAACTAATAAATTCTATGGTAACTGTTTGCCGGATGTTGAGAAGACAGAAGTTATTCAATAAAGCATTAATAATTTAATCGTTGTTAGAGCGTTAAGCGTACATTATCATGTAAGAGAACCCTTTGTGCACAGATTTTTTTGATACGAATTTCTGTCATGATATCATATTAAGTTGTAACTTTCTATATAATAATTTACGTGTTGTAATCTAAGATAGGCACGGGATTAATTATGTACTCTATATTTCTTTACAAGTACAACGCCATTTTTTTACTTTTTAAACATTTTTCACATCTGTCTTAGAGTTGCGGTACAGAGAGTTGTACGCAGACTTTTTTAAACTACTGTGCCTACATATACACATACATTTATCAAAGAAAATATCTGAGATATGTATGCATGAAAATAAAAATTTTAAAAGGATACATTATTGTAGTATATTGAAATAAATTAAAAATATAAAATGAAATTATTTGAATCTTCTTTCTTTAAAATGCACATTCGAATTATGGAGCTTAAGTCTTTGTATTATTTTTTATGTCTATCTTTTCTTGATTCTGCAGTTTTAAGAGATTATATAGGTTAGGTATTCTGAATTCAAGTTAACTAACGTACTATCAATACTACTGCAGTGATACCAACACCACAACAAAAACTAGTTACAATAAAAGTAATTATACGGCAACTTCATCTACAACTTACCATACTGTCAACGAAACGTCGAAAATGTGGGAAAAGTGTATGAATAGTTATCACAGTTTACGGTGTATATTATAATGATTGAATCATGCAATCATGTGGCCGATGAGACACGAAACCATGACCCGCGATGAATGCAGAAAATGTTTACGATGTTTGGGTAAGGTTATGTTTCGTATAATTTTCTTGCCTCGGTAATATTTAGCTTTTTACAGTAACATTATCATTGTATGCGTTAAACATATATTTTAATTTTAAAATAAGCATTGAATATCAGAACACCCGTAACTTGTATGTTTGAAACATATTAAATAGAAATCCAATGATCTATATGCGATTATCATTATTATTTATGAATGTATTCAAATTTATTACTACTCTCTGAAAATGTATTTACATTTTATTAAATATAACTCTATTCCCATAAATTGTTTTCTTATTTTTAGTAGTACGTTTGTAATTTTTTTGTATATATTGTATGTATAAGATAATTTGTTTTTTAAAACCAATAATGTATTGCATTGTATTATATTCATACTCATTGTACTCTGTTAAGTCAGAGAAAGAAATCTTTATGTATATTTAAGCGTGTATAAGTTGTAAACTAAAAAAGATCAATAATTAAGTAAATCTTCCCAGATAAAGTTGTGTGATAATTATCAGTAACATAAATATTGGTTGCAAGTATCTCTAATGTAATGTAAATTTGTACAAATTTTTATTATGACTAAATATTATGGGTAAAACAATTCAGATATTGTTAAATATATATTTCTTGTATTTTAAATGATTACTTAATAATTAGAATAAAAAAATTATCAAATTATTTAAAATTATATTATTAGAAAATATAATTGTATAAGTGTGTATATATTTATACTATTATTTGATTAAGTATATATAATTATTTTAAGCTTCATATATTATGTTTATACATTGAAGTTGATTTCTTTGTAATGTAGAGTTAGAAGCTTATGGAAATATGGTGTCTGTCTTACGTGCTCAAGGTCCTTTCACTAGTGAAAAACAGAAATTGCTACAAGAACTTGCTAAAGTTTTACATATTTCTAATGAACGACATCGTGCTGAAGTACGAAGAGCTGTTAATGATGAAAAATTAGCAACAATAGCTGAGCAGTAAGTATTTATTAAAACAAGATACATTATATGATTTTCCTCTCTAAATAACATTTCATTATAATATATCATTCCAAAAAATTTTGTTCTAGAATGCTATTAATGACCCAAAATAGATTTTGCTTTGCAATTTCATATTAATTCTTTTAATGTATGTTTCCTTATCAATTTTTGTTTTAAAGATTGTTATTCAAATTTAACTTATTTTGTTGAGTTTGAACATTTTGCAATTGAATCTTCATAAGATGTCATTATATAGGCTAAGTGGTCCAAATACTGGTACTGATTGGACTATTGAAGGACGACGTGCTATTCCACTTTTACCAAGATTAAAGGCTCGATCTGCATTCACAACTTTAGCAAATAGCTTGTCCCTTGCAACAGTAGCAGCAAACAAAAGGAATCTTCATGTTCATGAGATAGCAGAGGATGCAAAAGGTTTTAAGGAAAAATATTATCTATTTTGGTAAATGTGTGGTTTTAGTCTATGTAAAATAATGTATGGCTATAGAACTGTAAGTTAAGCAGATTTAACCAATAGTATTTTTGAACATTTCAAAATGTAAAGAAACTTCATTTCTTGTTTTATATTTGTTTCCATAGATATTACAAATGAATCTCCTGTGAAGGTAAAAGTACAAGAAAACTCGTTTAGCAATCATGAGTTTGCATCTAGTGAAGATAAATTAAGTGATGAAAATGTTCTAACTGAGGTAATTTAAATTATATGATTATTTATATTGTAAAAATATTCAAATTTTGTTTTAATTATTACACATAATATATTACAGGTCACTGAATCAGATAGGAATAAAGAAGTTAATAATCACAGCAATACCTCTGATAGCAGTGAAAAATGTATTATACCTGAGAAACGTAAAGCCTCTTCTCCTCTCTCACCAGCACCTCCAAACAAGGTAATTAAAAAAAGAAAAAGAAAAAAACAGAGAGAAAATAAAATAATACAATTGAAAATAACTTTTTTAAACTATTTAATAATTATATATATAATGTAGGTTCTGGTAGTATCTTCAAGTTCAATAGGAACTTTTAATCATGGTACTGCTGATAAAGGATCGCTAGAAAATACTATTCATTTGTCACGAATATCTACAAATTCGTTACAGCATCAAAATGTCACTATAATACCATTAAATATTAATTGTGGAGAAAATATTACAGGTGATTGTCCTTAATTATAGTGTATTGATGGTATGGTTAAGTGATATACAATTTTTTTTTAATTCATTATGTCAAATTCAGAATCTAAGGAATCAGTAGTACAAGAAAGTGCCAGTAACCATTCAGTAATTCCACCTGGTAATTTTGTGAATACAGTAATCCCAGTAGGTACAAATATTACAAAAGCTAAAGGAAGAGTAATTACAACGCAAAATAAGCTTAATACAAAAATCGGATCTGCAATTCTGGTGTCCGGTAATGTGTCATGTACAACAGGAAATAAATTTCAGCCTGATGTTCAAGATGTATCTACACAAGATAGTTTAAGTATGGATACATTTATCTGAGAATATACAATACATTGTTTAATTGAGCCTAATTGGATTAATTTTTGATACTACTTCAGGTTCAAAAGTATCCGTATCTCACACTTTACAAAAACCATCAAGTTCAGAAAATTCAAATTCAGTTACAAGCAGCACAAAGTGCATTGTGCCAGTAATACATTCTAACATAAAACCTCCAATACCTAAAACTATTACCTCCAGCAAGTATTATCAAAATTAATCATGGTCGAATTCAGAAATTACAATAATTTAATTCATTTTTTCATGATCATCATTAGGTAATTCACATCGACTGATGGCTGTTTGTCCTGTTACAACAGTATCTAATGGACCAGGGCCACCTCAAGCTAAGCAAATAACAACATTAACTTGTAAAAAATTATCTTCAACGCTCAACAATCAAACCACTGCCAAGGTGGTATGATTTTAAAGATACACAAAGATACAAAGATACAAAGATACAGGGTGTTCGAAAATGATTTTTCGCGATCACCACAGCGTCGTACTACTTCTCTGCACTTATTACACCTCTGGAACGATAGAGATCTATACAGAAAAATTGCCACAAAATTGATGTTTACCGAGAAATTCAAGGCTAATTCTACTCATTGTAATGATAAAAAGTCCCAAAGGAACAAATTGGAAATACTAAAGTTTCGTTAATTTTCGAACTCACTTTATTTATAATCTGCCTATATATTATTTTATATAACAATTATTATTGTATGTACCCCAGTAGATATCCCGGATACACTATTATTTATCTCATACCTTTCTTTCTTTCTTTCTTTTTTTCTTTCTTTCTTTATATTTGGAGGATACACGACATAAATAGCTAGTTATCTTTAACAGATTGCTTTCACGCATAGATACCCCTGTAGCAATGAGTTTGCGTCTTCTTTCCTTTCTTTCTTTCTCTTCCCAATATTTGTACGAAATACGAGTGCACGCTCTGCGATTTCAAAATCAGTGAGGCGTCAGTCTGTTTTTATTATCTAAGAGTGAAGAGGAAAAAGTGGTGCATTATAAGAGAAACATTGCGTGCTATTGACGAAATATAGTGTAATTCAGTGAAAAATAATGGAAGATCACTACGTGCACGAGAGATTCCAGATCGATGCGATTTCGTATGATTAGATCATCAAAAAATAGCATTACGTCATACTACTAAACATCGGAAAGCAGTTCGCACAATCTCGCGTTCATTGACGAAAGGAGCAAGAAAAAAGAAAAATGATTACACTCGTTTGAAAATTTGATCAAAATCAATTTTCTGATCAAGGTCAATTTTGCGGCAATTCTTTCTTACAGATCTTCGCCGATTCGTAAGTATAGAATATCGCTGTTGTGATGACATATATGACAAATCCTTCTCAAACACCCTATACAATGAAATGGATTATAAAGATATTAAAATTAAATATAAAGATATAATGTAAATTAGATTTAAAAATTGGATACAAAAATATATGACAAATATGTAATGTTCTAGGGTGTTACACTAAATTCTAATAAAACTGTAAATATATCTCACCACCCTGATACAAAATTAGGATCTAAAACAAACGTGATTGTTATACAAAAGGGTCAAACCAAAGGTGTTACTCTCTCTCAAGCAGGCAAGGTATAGTAATAGTTTATCTGTAGAGTAATAATTATCGTGCATTTTATTCTAAATGTAAACACATTATATAATTTATATATTATAGGAAGTATTAGGGAAAGTAATAATGGGTGGAAAAAGTTTGTGTGTCACGAGTCAACACAATGCTCCTATTAATGTGGTTCAGCGCCATGTTACATTGAATAATGGAGATCAAGGTCTAACTATGCTATCCACAACAAACTCATCTCATACAGAATCTATAACATCTAATGTAAAGGTAATAATTACATATTTTTATTATTTACAAACCTATAAGTATAATATGTACACTAGAACTTCGTTTACATGAATTTGTCTAAGGGCAAAACATTATCTATTGTTGTTTTTCGTTTAATTAATAAGAACTCGAAACAATTGCTCTTAAATATACAATAATGTTGCAAACTTGTATCGATTGCGAAGAATGAGAGTGTGTCACATAACGCGCGCCCCTGCTGTTTATGTATTTCAGCAAATAGAAACTCAGCTAAAGTTCAGATAACCAGACACTATTAAAATTTCGTTCATATAAACGAAGTTCCACTATATATTTACTTACTTTCATTAATGTTTACACGTTTTCTGGAACAAATGACAATTTATTAATTATACATCTATCCTATGATTGATGCATAGAATGTCACCATAAAGATGACATGAACAAATATGGAATGACTTTCTATAAAAAAAATAAATTGAAAATATAGTATATAGTATAGTTCTCGTTTTAGTAAATGTTTAAAAATATCAATTTTTGAGCAATAATCAAGTTTACATATACTTAACGAAACATTTTCCTTGGATTTTACATATTATAATTATCATTATAATGCATAATTATAATTATGACATTAAAAATCGTACTCACAAATGACATTAAAAAATTATTTAACATTTTACAACAAACACAAAAATAAAAGACAAAAAAGTCGTTGACCAGAGTTCATAGATTTATTATTTATTAGTTACAAATTGCATCTGGTAATAAACCATTTATAATAATTTTTTTCTTGAAGAATTTAGTAAATCATTAATGTAGTTAGAAATCGATCTCTCATGTAATATTTAATAATTTTTAGAAAATAATATCTAGAATAAAAGATCTTATTTTATACTTGCACAGAATGCATAACCAATTGTACCATCAACATGTCTATAGCTTCTATAAGTAGTATGATACTTTTGCAAAATGATAAAAGTATAAATTAAAAAAAATTTTTTTCAGTCTGGTAATACTATTATGTTCAATCTTCGGCAGGATGTTTTGGAAAAAAATAAAGCACTCTCTCATCTTCTTGAATCATCTCATGTTCTTACCTCTGAATCTAAGACTGTGATACAAAATACTAATGCTCTTCTTTCAAAGGAACCAAGTAACAGTGATTTACATGTACAGGATAAAGAGCTAGTTTTAAAAACCGATGCTGTAATTGCTACTGTTAAAGATGAGAAACACAGGTCAGTTTGAAACTATCGAAATGTACTACGAAATTGTTGTGTTAAAAAGCGCATGTAATACCGACAACTAACTTTATAATTACTTTAAAAATTTTTGTAAATTGTTCATTGTAAATTAATAATATGTTTTATGTGCAAAATATTTTGCAGATTGAAATATACCCAAAAATATACGCTTCTTGAGTCGAATTAAACACTATTTACAAACTTTTCATGACATAAATGAATAAAATTAAGCGCATGCATAACAAATTAAAATATTTTGCTATTGGTGATTTAAAAAAGAAAAGAAGAAAATTATTTTATTTTGTGCTATAAAACTTTTAATTTTTTAAACCTATTTTATGAAGCGTATTCCATATTTTTTATCGTTTCTGCTACGATTAATTCATATTTTTCTATTTAAGGAAAGTAAAGATATATATGCAAATGCAAATTTTTATTTAACGAATTATATATGGATCCTCTGAACATTCAAAAAGTAAACAAATATTTTCAAATTCAAACTACAATATAAATACATAAGGTAAATTGATGAAATCCTATTTGATGGCTTTCATGTTTTAGTATTAATTTTACTTTTGTACAAGATTACGAAGTGTCGTTTATATATTTTTTTTATGATTTAAATGATTTATTACATTGCTTAAATCATTTTCTAAATCCCAAGTTTTTGTATCTGATCTCATGAATAGTATTTCATAATTTTCCATACTTATTTAATGCACATTGTCTTTAAATAAACATGATGATAAAACATGATAAGTAGAATTGCAACTATTTTAAAAATATTTAATACTTGATATAAAATTATATAATTTAAAAAAAAAATGTTTCTAATGTGCATTATTAAAGTAAACAAATTTTAACAAGAAAGAGTACTAAATAAATATAAAAAAGAGGAATATATATATATATATAAATATATATGCCTGTGTGTGTGTGTATATATATATATATATTCCTGTGCATTTAACATTTAACGAAATTTTAATCTTTTTAAAGAAATAAGCCTTTTGTCGGAGAGTTAATTTATACAATTAATGTTTGTATGAAACATGAAGAACAGTACAATTCTTCAGATACCTATAATACAGTATAATTAATTTACATTTGGTATGTGCCAAATTTGTAAGTCACTGGCAATTAAACATTTAATAGGAAAGAAACCTACTAATGATAATCGTACTTTATTGAATCTAAAAATAATACTTTTTGTGTCGTAACAAATTTTGTACACAAAATAACAAATTATATTAAATATATCAAACAATGCAAGTTTTCATATCCGTACTGTTAAACTTAAGTTCTGTATAAATAAAAAATACATTCATTAGATCATGTTATGCCATTCCATATTAAAAATTACGAAAATGGAAAACAATATGATTTCAGAAACAAGTCCTTTAACATCATTTAACATAACATAAATTGTATATTTTGAAAGAGAAAAATCTATCTATAGAAAATTCCATTCGTACTTAGTATTGCACCTGACTCACATTTTAAGGTACTATTTACGTAAAGCCTAATTTTACAATTATTAATGTAATTTCTTACCGAAGCTGCCCAAGGTATTCGGATTCTTAGAAGATGTTAGTAGTATCTTATTTAACGTAAAATCTGTGTGACCATGGAAACTGATATTGCATATTTTTTATTGTTGCAGCCAAATCGAATACGCATCGCAATTATATATATATATGTTAAATAGAGAAATTTATAATTCTGACACTTGCTCACGCTTTGTATCATTAAAATAATGTATATGTAAGATATAAACAGAATCTTTCAAGAGCCAAGTACATAGAATGATAATCAAACTTTATATACATATATATACATATAAATCATAGTTGTTCCTTATGAACTCCAAAATGGTTCTATTGATTCTGATTTTAGGACTCTAAGTTAACCTAATACATAGAAATAGAAATTTAAAATATTGATAAACATGTATATAGACTTTGTTAAAAATAAGAAAAGCTTTCATTTAATTCAAAAAAGGAAATATGATGATACAGTTCTAAATGATGAACAATTTATATACAGATAAGTACAGACAAGGCACAGAACTGTATCTTGTCTTTCAAAAAATCAAAATGTTCATTTAATGTTGTTGTATATATACATATATGTAACTTTAGAACTCGGCTATTCCAAGACTAATATTGGTATTGAAAGTATTAAATCTGTGCAAAAAAATAAAGAAATACTTTTTTTATAAGTTTTAATTCAGTTAATAATCTGTTTTTAATTGGGAAATTTTAATATTTAGATAGTATTTCTAATTTATTATCAACTGGCTTTTTGATGGAATGGTTGAAGTGTGTAATAAAAATTTATATAGAGAATCAGCTTTTCATGCCTTTATTATCCGTGATTTGTTATTTCATAAAAATTAAACTATTAATTAAAAAACCATACAATATTCGTCTCTCATTTTATTGTCTGTTACATGTATGCTTGTATCACTATTTTAATATTTCTTATATAATTTTTTCTTTTTTTTTCAATTAATTTTTGAGTACATATACTTCAATTTTACAATTACACATTTTTTTACTAAACGTCGTTCTTTTTTTTCTATTAAAATATCTGGGAAGTATATATTCAGATTTATACAAAATACTTATCTTTATCTTACATAAGTTCTTTATAACTGGTAATCAAAGTTACATGAATGGAAAAGATATTAACATTATAAAAGAGACCTTTATTATCACCAGTTACAATATTGTATTATGTTAAAAAGTACTAATATGGACGAGGGGGTGGTCCACCACGCATCATACCTGGAGGTGGACCTCTCATTCCTGGTGGTCCCATTGGTGGACCTCCACGTCCCATGGGTGGCATTCCTGGTGGCATTCCTATAACCAAGCAACCAAATTTCAAACTTTAACACTAATAATTTAAAATCAAAACAATTCTTAGATTTCATAAAGTTGTTGCGAATCTCTACTAACAGTATAAAAGAAGACAACTAAAATCTGTAAAATATCACCTACCCATCATGCCTGGTGGTGGACCCATCATTCCAGGTGGAGGACCTCCAACTGGCATACGTGGAGGACCACCTGGATGCATCTGCGGTGGAGCAGAAACTTGACCTCTACCTCCTGGTGTCATTATTTGTTGTGAAGGACCTCCGACACCTCTAACAGGACCTTGTAAACCAGCAGGTACTCCAGCAACATTAGCAGGCATGCCACGTCCCGCAGCACGACCCATTCCAGGTCCAGGTGCTGCCCCAGGAATTGGTACTCTGGGTAATCCTTCTTCTGGAGGTGGAGGACCTTCCACAGTCAGAGAAACAATGTTTTCTCCTCTTAAGAGTACGAAGCCCAATACCCGTTTATCTTCTCTCTCAGGTTGCTTTGTATTTTTTGGTTTAATCTTACGAAACTCTTCACAATCACCAAGTATAAGGTTCATATGTTTATCGAAGGCTTTAAATGTGCCTATGAATGTCCTTGAGTCTTGCAAAATAATTCTGACTCTGTAATTGATATGCTGCAGCATCTTATTATTTTTACCAATCGTCTGAAAAAAAATTGTTTTAACTTTTACAGTTAAATATGTACAAGGCGAATACTCAGTTTTAATGAAAATATCCGACTTAAAAAATATACAACTTTAAAAAATCATATTTTCCTTTATATTGCAATATTTTAATTACTCATAAAAAATAATTTATAAAAAAAATATTTATGATTTCTTTTTGTTTAACATTTACCATAATGTGATAAGGTTATGTTACCACTATTTTCAAACACTTTTAAAAGGTATATATATTTATTATTTTTCACTGGGTTATCCAATTTTTTTGGTCGAGTCCTATATTTACTGAAAGTACTTATCGAATAGAGTTTAATGATGCCAGTTTTAACTTTAGGAATATTGAATAGTGAATATTGGGTTAAGTTAGGGATCACTTTGAAATATCCTTTACTCTCCGGCCACCGTAAGGCGGCCGGCTATGCTTAGTATACAAACTTTTCGGCGAAGTTCAGTTCATCTGTGCGGACCAATCAGATGATGGATAAAAGCAATATGGCATTAAAGTAACGTGTAAGATATTTAAAAACTACTCAGTTTCTTCTCAGTTTCAGATTCTTCGCCATAAAACTTGTATTTTCGAATTCTACACGTCGAAAACTATATGATTGCAAAAAAGTCAATAATTTTTGATCCCCTCCGGGTTGAAAAAATTGGGTACCCGGAGGAAAAGTTTATCTTTCTTTCACTTACCATTTTGTCTGCCTTTATCAACACCAAACAAAATTAGGAACAAATTATCGTCCTTTAGCTATTTTATAACTATGCACCTATGTTAGCCGGCTACTATCCGGTTACATCAGGTGAAGTTGTTTATTCTAACAACATAACCTTTTTATATAAGCAGATGATGCTATCGTAGAGTTTAATGCGTTTAATGTATGATCATATAAGTAGGTTTCTATACTCATAAATGGAAACAAGAAAACTATCCAAAAATTGAGTCCTGATTAGTTGCGAAAAATCAACATGGAAGATTCTCATTCTGCCCATGCGTGACATGCTATGAATGTCTCAGGTAGAGACAGAGACACTCTACTCATCTCTGTTTGTTTCACAAGGAGGCAAATTTTGTTGTCTTCCATGTTGATTTCTCCCAACTAGTCACGATTCAATTTTCGAACAAATTTCCCTAGGGAGTACCGAGATCAGTTTATATGATCGTGAACAAGGTAGAGATAACATCAGAGAGGAAATTTCTTCTTTCATAACACATATATTTAAAATCACTTTGGAAGATAAGTATATATAATAAGTATATATAATAAAAAATGTAAAATGTAAAAAATAATGTAACGTATAATCAGATACAATTCACAAGAACTGTACAAAGATAAGAAGCATTTAGTTAGGTTTTATTTATATTTTTAAAAATTAGAAAAATTATTTATTTTAATGGAGTTAAAAATATATTTATTGTTTTTTTATTGTCTATGTATAATTATGTTCTATTTTGAAAAAACATATTTTATATAATTACAATTCCAATTATTAACTGAATCTCTACAAAATACTGCTATTATTAAACAAAATATTAAAATTAAAATATCAAAAATATGAAAAATATTTTTATTTACAATAAACAATTATGAACTTTTATATTTATCTTATTTTACTTTCCAAATCTTTAGTTGTTCTATAAATTTATTTATCTATGAAGTTTATATCGATTTATAAATCTAAAAATTTGGATTAAATATCCTACTATTTTGAAAAATTAAACATATTTGGAGTAACTATTTATGTGTTTTTTATACACATACACACACACGCACGCGCACATGCACATACACTGCATACTGATTAATACATACTTTATGGCAGCATTGAAAATTGCTTTAAACTTACATATATGATAATTAATGACATAGTTTTATAATTGTAGTAATGTAATTTAAAATGAATCATGCAACTTAAATATGAAATTTATTAAAACTAAAAAGAAAGCATTAAATTCATATAAAACTTAAAAACAATGTATAGTTTTTAAAGATATTTATTAGAAAATATTTATTTTTATCAGATTTTAATTTATTATATTTTTGATATTGTTTTAAAGAAAACATCAATTTTCATTATATAATATACATAAAAGATTAAAAATTTTGCTGGATTTATTATTTGATCACACCAAAAAATTAATTTTGATTTTATTGTATACATATTTGAATCTGCTAGCTTATATTGAAATATTTTCTCATTTTTTTGGAAGAATATGTTTTTGACTTACAATGCTTTATAATGATATTCCACCTTAATACTGTACTTGAAGGATCAGTGTTTACAATGTTTTCAGATAATGTTTTAGATTGCTTTATCGAAGATTGGTGATTATATTGCAATCGTCTATTATTTGTTTTGTTTTCTATATTCATTTGATTCATATCAATAATTGGTTGCACAAAATTTGCTGAGTTACAAGAAACTTTATGAACAGATTGGATACTAGACTTTTTAATTTTAGAAGAATTAGCTTGAAGATTATCCAAATTCATATATTCCATTTGATTCAAACTATAAATTTTTTGATCATTTTTTGATTTAATTTCATCTACATTCCTAAACTCTGAAAGAATACAAAATTTAAATAAAATAAATAAATTTATTAAGTTTTTCAAAGTTATTAAAAGAAACTACAAACCTTTTTTCTTTAGAAATGCTTCTTGAATAAAAGATTGTGATTTAAATATCTCTTGCTCCTGAGGTATGTTATTTCTTAATCCCTTAAGAGACATTTTTGCAGACATAACACTTTTGTCTTTTGGCATATTTAAAGGACAACAATCTTTTGGTGGTCTTTCATGTTCTTTCAAATCTGGATGTAAACTACTCATAGTATTCATCAATTCAGTTATTCTAGTATGGTAATCATTGGATAATGTATGTTTTTTATTTCTCTCATTCAATGTAAATGTATTTTTATCAAAGTATAAACATTTATTAGAAGTTTGTAAGGATATCATATTTGGATCAAATCTATTAGAATAATATAATAACGATTGGGTTTCTGACACAGCTGAATGTGTACTATTTGATGTTGTTTGCAATTGCAGGCCATCTTTAATAGAATTACTTTTACTTTCAGGATTAATTTTGTTCTTTAAAGCGTTCTCTGACATAGAAAAGAAAATGAAAGGTACGCGTTTTACTATAAGTTTCTCAACAATATAATCATATTCTTTGGCATTACTATTTACAATGTCTTCTAAGGACTCCTTTTTGGAATTAATTCTAAAGCAACTTAAGAACAATTCAAAACATTTATTGTTAGCTTTAGGATTAGAAATAGCACTGGCCTTTGATGAACTAGAAACTGCAATTTCATGTGAACTAGCAGAAGCTTGTAATTTACCACTCATTTCAAAATCGTGTAAATATTTTCCAAAAAATTCAAATATTTAAAAAAATATATTTATCGTTCTTTAATATATTTTAATTTTTGTAATTCAATCCAGTTTATTCAGGGAAATTTGTAATTCATAATTCTTCGTGTGTGTTTTTGCGATATGTGAAAGCCATAATCATGGTATTTATGTCACAAATATTTGACTTAACAAAGGGTTAGCACCATATTATGGTTTATCAAAAAACATTATTTAGTAGAATTTGTAAATTGGTATGCATATTTTATATTTACATGATCATAAATTTGCAATCAAAATTTGATGATACCAAACTTAGTTTTGAATTGTATCTCTTTTACTAAATACATTTACTTTTTTAAAACATATATAAATGCGCTTATAAATTTAGTTTTTGATTATGAAATTGTTATGATTTGCTTCCTATGTAAAGATACTATGAATTATATTGAAAACATTAATGTTAAATTTTAATTAGACAATTTAAAATATCAAATAATTTTCGATATATTGAATTATTTACATGGGGATAGATGGCGACAGTTTTGTTGCTTCGAGACTGTTTAATGATGTCTTGTGTGGTTAAATAAAATTGAATGTCGAGAGATTACGTGCCTTCACATTTCTAAGTGTGATAAGATTACTAAGGAAAATAGTTTCATAACAATTTAAAATGGCCACAATAAAATTAAATCCATCAACTTCGCCTTCCGTTGAATTAAGTTCATATCGCGATCAACATTTTAAGGTTAGTTTTATAACATATTCTTCAAATATTTCAATTTTAATATTTCATAAAGAGAAACTTTTAATACCACAAGATATAAACTACATGAGATTTAAATTCGTATATTCTTTAATTATTCACTATAATATTTGTATTTCTTGTCATTGATTACTATAGTATCTTATATTTATAATATTATTTATTTCAAATTGTAATGCTTTACATCTATTTTGCCATACAGGGTGTCCCAAGAGGAAATGGAATAACTTCATCAGTATGTTTGGAAATCAAAAAGGTCATACACACTATGGATCCTGCTCTACTGGATTTTGATTTATTTGAAAAAATAGACTCCACATATACGTAATTGGAATAGAGCAATAGTTTTTTATTTTTTATGTATTTCTTACTGTTTCTTTCTTTTTTACCTTGTATATGTTAAAGAAGGAGTTCAAAGTGAACAAAATCTAGATATCTGCATAGTTTACATTTAAAAATATAAGAGGCATTGTAAATAGAAATTAAATCGTCGAATTGAAATGAACAATTTGAAATATAGAATTACATTGAGTATCAAGGAGAAGGAAACACTTCTGTAATGATATCAGTACATGTGTCAACGTTATATTCCTTTCGATATTTTTCAAACCAAAGTGATAAAATTGTTTCCAATTTTTTTCGATATAGAATGTAGGAATCATAGAAATTCTTCTACATAGAATGTGTTAAACAGTCTGTTATTTACTTTCAACTCCCATTTTGTGTGCTATTTGAGTAAAGTAAGCAATGATTATCTCAAAAACATATGAATCTAGACCCATAGTATGTATGACCCTTTTGATTTAGATTAAATTACCTAACATAATGGTAAAGTTATTTGATTTTTCCCTAGAACATTTATATAATAATAGTAATATTAGGCACAAAAATTACATAAAGCAATAGCAAAAATGTTAATTGTGATCATAATAACAATAAACGATTTATTAGTATTAATTTCTCTTTAATAATAATTTATGTTTGCAGGGTTCAAGAGCTGAGCAGGATAGGCTCTTAAGAATTTCGACAACTTTATATGTTGGAAATTTATCGTTTTATACTACAGAGGAACAAATATATGAACTATTTTCAAAATGTGGTGATATTAGAAGAATTATCATGGGATTGGATAAATATAAAAAAACACCTTGTGGTTTTTGTTTCGTTGAGTATTATCAAAGGGCTGACGCTGAAAACTGTATGCGATATATTAATGGTACTCGCTTAGATGATAGAATTATTAGAACAGATTGGGATGCTGGTTTTATTGAAGGCAGGCAATATGGAAGAGGCAAAACTGGAGGACAAGTGTGTACCTTTATTTTCTATAATAATATAATTATAGAATTATAGCGCATTAAAATTTATCAATATAATAAATTATATTATTATAGGTAAGAGATGAATACAGATCAGACTTTGATAGTGGAAGAGGAGGCTATGGTAAAATAATACAACAAAAAGTAACTCCACTTTCTGATGGAGCTTTTGGACGTTAAAATTGTATGAATATGACTGCTTCTTAATTTTAAATTTTGTATGTATAAGAAAATTATTAGTATTTAATTAATCGCATTTAAGGATAAATAACATGATATATAAAATAGTAACTATAACAAATGTACATACATAGTAAATAAGGACAACTATGAAACATAAGTAAAAATTATTTTTTAAAAATTATACGTAATATAGTGGAAATTTTATTTCTATTCCAATTTGTTACCGTTAGATGATAAAGAAAAAAGGATGTTTTAATAAGAAATAGTCCACAAAAAAATGACTGTTTAATAATATCGATGAAATAAATTCCTTTTTATTAATGGTATTCTATGATACAGATGTACAATGAAGTCTACTTGATTCTGTAATCAGCATTAATATATTTACAAAATATGAATTATTTGTTGTTTGGTATTATTTATAATCGTTTTATTAAATTTTGAATGTTGGAGGAAATGTAGGAAAACTGTAGGGTCCAAAGATCTTACAGTTAATATTTTTATCCATTAATATTACTATAAATCAATATTTACTATTAATTAATTATAAATATTATTTTATAAGTTAAGCTTCAAAATGAACAACAAAGTTTGCTTGATGGTTTTTTCAGTACTGCTCGAATCGCTTCAGTGAAAACTTCCTCTAAGTTTTCACATTTCAAAGCAGAACATTCGACATATTTATAAGCTTTTACTTTCTTTTTCATTTTTTTGCATTCTTTGAAAGTAATTGTATCCACATTTTCTTGATTTCTAAGATCCCCTTTTGTACCTATTAGTAAAATAAAAAATGAGTTTAGGAGACTTTTGCCTTTCATGGCACGGATTCTGGTGCTTAACGCTGTTGTGAATAACGCTGTTTGAGACTTTCATGTAAAGGCCATGTCTAATTGGAATTTCTTTCCAACGTTTCAGCAGTATTGCAGCTAGCTTATACAGAGAATATAACGATGGTGAAACTGTTTCAGTGTGTCATTAGACCTCGTGAGGAAGTTTGCTGCAATAGAAATGAAATTGAACGTGTCTTTTACTCGAAAGCCTCAAACAGTGCTGTTCACAGTACTATTAAGCATAAAAAAATTTAATTAAAAAATTTAATTTAGCCTTAATTCTAGTACATATATTAGAGTTTAGAATATAAATGATAGAGTTTGTGAATTATCTAATCTTGCAACATATTTTGTGTGAAAAAGAGTTTTAAGCAGCTCTAAAGGAAAGGACATTCACGCTAAATGATCGATATGTTGATCTCAAAAATATATTTGTCTGCATAATGGAAAATTTATCCTTCTAATTATCAAAAGCCTTATATGGTATGAAACCTATTAAGAAATATAAAATATAAATATAATATATGATATAAAGTAAGATAAGACCTTTTTCATATAAATTAGTAATAATTAAGATATTTACCAACAAGCACTATAGGTGTATTTGGACAGTGATGTTTAATTTCTGGATGCCATTTGATCGCAACATTTTCATAAGAAGTGCGAGAATTTACTGAAAAGCAGATCAAGAAGCAATCAGTCTGAAAATGAAATGAAATAGTAAATTGTTATAACACAAATGTTCAGCAAAAATAATTAGTATATAGGGAATATCGATAAAATAAATAATTAGTTGAAAGATTCGCTCACATTTGGGTAAGATAAAGGTCTGATTCGTTCATAATCTTCCTGACCAGCAGTATCCCATAAAGTCATATCAAATTCTTGTCCATCTACACATATTGCGCCTGCATAGTTATCGAAGCTAAAACCATTTTAAATATCATCTTCTATCTTAAAATAAGTATGGGATCAATTTTTCATTTTGTTATTAAATTTTTTAATATAAAGGTACACTTATTTAGAAACCCAATACTTAAGTCAAGTAAGTATTAAAAACTTAATACTTACACAGTAGGCACATATTCTGAAGGGAATTCATTTGTTGTATATGTAATAAGCATACATGTTTTGCCTACAGTACCATCTCCAATTGTTGTGACTTTGATTGGCCTATGTCTGGAGACTGTATTTTTATTTTCTGAAAAATAAAAAGATAATTTTATCTATATTATATAGAATATAGTTATATTGAATTTTTTAAAAATTAATAGATCTTTTTCCACTTTTCATTTTGTTTTGTTCAATTTTCAATCATTTTTATCACATTAAACGTAAAAAATATGCAGTTGATCAAATTAAATATAAAGAAATTAAATTTTTACTCTGATAGAAATATTAGAAAACAGAATTAAAAAAAATTAGTTTGTAATTTTGATGCCGTTTTTGTTGGAAAGGTAACCAACACATCCGGCGACCATATACCAAGGCTATCCTTGTCGTTGCTTGCTGTATCGCATATTAATTGGAACCGAAAGGTAGTATACTTTTATCATTTTGCTATAATAATGAAAAAATTGAACAAATATGTATGTATTGTTAAACATGTATTGTTAATGTATAATACTCAAGATTGATGACATTCAAAATATAATCTTATCTTGAATAGAAAATACATTTTTTTATAATTTTTATTTATTATAAATACGGATTACATTGAAAAATTTATTAATTTGCATTATTCTATAAATAAATAACTGTACGGTATATGATAAAATATGTATACATATTTACTAATTTAGTTTTACATAGTATATTTTTTGTGCTAGAATTTGATTTTTTATATAAATAGTAGATAAATTAAAGTCTCGTGAAATATAAGTAAAGAAATATATCGTTATTGAAAATCGAAAGTAATATTTTTCTTTACAAAGCTGTTGAAATTTATTATCTTCTGTATATCATATGACTTAAGTATGTATATCCGCGGTTCGTCCTCTATAAGTCATCGTCTGAATCAGATATG